TGGACTGGCTGGAATAAAAGTAAAGAAATACCGAACAATATCTGGAGGACAAAATGTCTTGCTGGCAACTGAGACCTGGCATAGAATATAGAGCCATTATTTTTAACTCAGCTCCATTTACTGCCTGCAGTTCTGTACCCATAACTAATTAAAGATGCAAAGTGCTAGGGACCAATGACAGGATTTAGAAGTCTAGCTAGCTAAATGCTCCTGAAATTTGAAGTTTAAGTCAATGGTGCTAGTCCAGTTTACACTAGTTGAAGATTTGACCCCTAAATGTTGTTTGCACAACTCTGGGGGCCAAAGGGAAGGCTGGACTGTGCCCAGTTAAAACCATCCTCCTTAATCTTGATGCTCGATTGTGAGAGGATTTGCAGAACTCTGTTGCTTCCTCTCTCAGTCTTGCAAAGCAGATCTCTCAACCCACCCAGCCACAAAGGTGAGAGACAAGTTGTGGAATTAAATTGCCCAACCAAAGGGATGCATGAAAAGCTGAATACATAGGACACAAATGCACTTGACTTCAAAGGATTTGGAGGTTTTCCTTTAATCTGATGGCTACTTGCTTCCTTTATAAGAATGGCCCAACTGAGTTGTGCCAATAATTGTCCATCTAACCAGTATCCCCATTCGCACAGTAGCCACTGCCAGATGGCTCTGGTAACTAAAGGTTCAGGGACACCTGGAGCATGGGCTACATCTCTGACAATCTTGGCTAACAACCATTGATGGAACTATCAGTCAGCCCTTCAGGAGTAAATCATCTACTGTTTCAAGGGCCTTTTTGAAGGGCTTGCTCTCTGCTCACCTTTTGAGGGGCAGATCATCCCATGTCACACAAGTTTGTAGGACATTCATGTCTCCCAAAGTAGCTCCTGGACAGACATTCTTACAGTCAGATGATGGTCTATCACAGTGTTTCTTAAACTTTTTAAGATGGAGGAACACCAAACAATATTTTTTTTTTATGAGTAACACCAAGGATTTTTTGTTAAGAAAAAAAAAAAGAGGCTGAGGAAAAGTTATTGAGCAAAAAAAAAAATAGAGTCGAAAATAGGGTTGGGGGGGAAAGTTATTGAGGGGAAAATTTTTTTGCCTGCCCCTTTAAGGGTGGCCATTTTGAACTCTGCTGTTCTCTGCGGCACACCTCCGACTGCCTCACGGCACACCAGTGTGCCATGAAACACAGTTTAAGAAACATTGGTCTATCACAACCTAATGATGTTTGTGTAGTGGTGTTAAGTTGCGCTGAAGTGACCTCCCATCAGGATGTTTTGGCACAGACTCACGACAGAATCAGAGCGTTGCAGCTTGTTGTCCAATAGTGCTGTGAAACTGTTGCACGATGGTGGTGCAGTGTAGGAATATTATGTTATAAGATGGTGATGCCATCCTGGTGAGGTATTGGCATGTTGTGTCATGACATTAAGCCACCACAAAGCAGGTATCAGCACTTTGTGATGAGAGAACCTGGCCCTGGAGGATGGTTTGCTGCCACCTGTCTGGATTTTACCCAGACAGTCCAATTTTTGGCTTCCATGTCCAGTTTTCTGCTGGAAAGTCCAGTTCAAAAAGGGACCTGGTAACCCTAAATGGCCCCCGAACCAACCATCCAGTCACTGCAGGGCAGGGGCAGGTGACAGGTCATTGACCCACAACAGACCCTGCTTAGCCTGGGCCATCTCCTACCTGCAAGCAGGTCTCTTGAAACAATCCAGTTAGCGATGTGGAGAGAGAGGGAAGAGGAGAAAGCGAGGGGGGCAGGGCCTTGGGGGGGATTAGAGGCAGAGGAAGCACTGGGACCCGGGAAAAAAGGCAGGGCAGAGCTTTGAGGGATGAGGTGGAGCAGGGTGAGGACTTGGGAGGAAATGGTGCAGCAGGGTGGGATCTTGGGGATAGGGATGAAGAAGGCACAGGGCCTTGGGGAAAGAGGTGAGGCAGTGGGTGGGCCCATAGGAGTCTGGTTACCAGCAGTTAGAAAAGTGGCAAGTTGGCAACCCTAAGAGAGGGGGAATGCAGGTAAGAAAGGAAAGAGAGGCAAGAGAGTAGTTTCCATTCTGTCACTACAGTTTTCCAGTGTTTCACTCTCCCATCTCATTGTCTCTCTAAGTTGAAGCAGAGAACCCTTTGTGGTAATGCCCCTTGCAGGAACTCCGGCTCCTATCAAGACGAAAAAGTCCACTAAACTCATTGGGAAACTAACTCGTGAAGGTAAGATGTATGCACACAAGCGCCAGAAATCCCGAGTGGTATGTGGCTCAGTCCATCTCACACAGCTCTACAGAACAGTAGATGTGGGTGGAGCTGGGTGAAACATTTGACTGAAACTTTGTGTCAATGTCACCAAATTGTAGATTTTAAAAGAAAATCAAGACACTTCCTTCCAACATTTTTTAAAATAAATGTTTTGATTAAAAATAGCTTTTTGTTTAGAAATTTCATTCAATTTTTAAAAATGTAAAATATTTTTAAAAGCTTGACATCAAAAAGAAATGTTTCAGTTTGGGTTGAACACTGTTTTGTTCAACCCAAAGTAATTTTTTTCATTTGACAAGAATTTGGAAAAATTTCAGTTTTGTGTTGATCCAAAATTTGATGTTTTTGAACTTGCCAGAGAACCAGACAATTAGTTATTCACACAGATTAGTATGGGAGCCCCTAAACAAGACACAGAGGTGCGTGAATGTGCTGGGTTCTTACACTTGGTGGCAGATGAAGTCAGCCTCCTCAGTGATTATCAATTCTAAACTTTTCACATTGTTTGTTATGTCCCATGGTTTCCAATGCACTTACTGGTAGTTTCTGTCAGTTGCTGTGCAAGTCTGAATTACTTTTGTGGAGAAGGAACCAGGTTGTCAGGCAATGAGAAGGGAAAGGTCCTGGAAGCAATAAATATGTTCAGAGAAATCAGGAGGAGAGTCAAGCAGTGGTCACCAACCAGTTGATCGGGATCTACCGGTAGATCTTGGAGCCTCTGACAGGTGATCCTGACTGGTTTGGCCAGGGCGCTATCAAGCACTGGCACTTCAGTTGCCCCTCCACCCACTGTCATGCTGCTCCTGCCCTCTGCCTTGGAGCTGCCTCCTGCTTGCTGTGCAGAGTGTGGGAGGAAGAAGGAGGGCCCCTGATGTCAGGGTGTCCCTCCTCCCCCCACTTCTGCACCCTGTCTCCACACAGAGAAGGGGATGGAGGGAGCTCTGCAAATCTCTGTCCCTCACACATTGTGTGTGTCTGTCATTCTCAAACACACACGCTGTCCTTCACTCTCATCTCCAGACCCATCACATACATGGGGAGTGGTTGTCACTTCCATTACTGCCTGCAAAGTGTGGTATCTTTGGGTTTTGACTGGTCTGTGCATTTCATCATTTTCATTTCTTTCTTACGCTTAAATTTAATTCTTTGAGTAGTGAGTTCTAAATTGCCTAACCTGTTGTGGCTGGAGTCATCCCTGTGGTAATTGCTGCTGCTGGACGTGGCTGGCATGTCCCTGCAGCCCTTGTGGAAGGCAGAGCAGAGGGTCCCCGCATGCTGTCATTGCCTGCAGACACCACTTCTGCAGCACCCATTGATCAATAAAGGGGAACCGTGGCCAGTAGAAGCTGTGAGCTCAGTGCCTGTGGATGAGGGGCACCATGTGGTGCCATGGCTGTACATGCCAGCTGCTTTCAGGAGTGGTACAGAGCCAGGGCAGGAGCAAGCCTGCCTTAACCCCACTGCTCCACCGCCCGTAAGCCATCTCAGTTAAACAGTGCCCAGCCAGAGGCCTGCTTCCTGAACCCCTGTCCCAGCCCTGAACCTCCTTCTCCACCCCCCCCCCGCACCAAAACTCCTTCCCAGAGCTTGCACCCTGAAACCCCTCCTGGATCCCAATCTCCCTACCAGGGCTAAGCCCAGAGCCCCTCCCACACTCCCAACTTCTTGGACCAAGACCAGAGCCTGCACCCCAACCCTCTACCCCAGCCTGATGAAAGTGAGAGAGGATGGGAGAGGAAGGGGGATGGAGTGAGCAGGGTGAGGTCTTGGAGAAGGGGAAGAGCAGGGGCAGGAAGGGAGTGGGGCAAAGGTATTTGGGTTTGAGGTAGATTTTACATTGCACTTCAATTGAAAAAGTGATCCTGTGCTTGAGAATGTTGGAACCAGTGGTATATAGTGTATTTAAGCATTCTCTGATGGTAACATCTGGATACAAGGTGCAGTACACATGTTGCCAGTCGGCAAGGACTTTCAGATAGCCTCGCACACCCGCCTATGTGGTTGGCTAGTGTTCCCTCACAGGGATTTAGTTTGCTAACCTTCCCCACACAGGAGCGGTATAAACAAAGAGGGCCAAACTTAAATCCATGTTTACAAAGGGGTTACTCCAGATTTACACTGGAATAACTGAGAGCAGAATTTAGTTCTGACTATATGTGTCAGTGCCCCAATGCCTTTAATTAGCTGTGCACCAGCATGGATCTGTCTATCATTACCTCCACCCTTAATTTATTTTCCTTCTGCAATAGCAACCTCTTGATCGTCACTCACTGGTCAGTAGGCCATGTTCTCTCAATGGGGTTGCAAATAACAGGAGAATGCAGTCCTAGGGAGTGCTAGGAACACCTTACCTTGAGCAATATTGGAGGGGGTGATTTGTACACGGCTATCATGCGCCTTTTCTTCTCACTTTAAGTGGAGGGACGAGGAGATTTCCAGAGGTGCTGCAAAGTAGTAAAAAGCTAAAGGTTATTCCCTTCCCAAATTGCCAAGAGGGGCCTCAGGAATCCGCTCTGCTCAGGAGAGTTGGAAGAAGGACACCTTGATATAGGTTTTTAAGTTTGCTCCCAGGCCAACAGAAAACCCTGTGTTCACCACAACAGGCAAATATAATAACTCCAATATCTACAGAAAGTCTCTTCCCACTGGGAATGGTGGAGTGTGGAACTGGCTTGCTGCAGAGGGAGTTCCTCCAGGGATTTTGCCAGGTCACTGCCTGGGCTGGGGAAAGGAGGGGAACAGTCTCTATCAATCAGAAGAGCTGTTGTTTCAAACAGGTCAGTGCTCACTACAGAATTTTTAGTGCATGGGAACAGGGTCCACAAGCCACTTAGTGCATGGCAGGTGAGACAGCTGTAGACTTACACACCACCTTCCTCTGCATCTCCCTATTGATGAGCCCTAAAACTGCTCAGGGCCATCATGACACAAATTCTTCCCATCATCCACATTTTGTCCAAAGGATGCTTGGTTCAAGGTGCCAGCCCATCAGTCTTAGTGGGGAGAAAAACAGTTCCATGTCCTAAAGCCTAGGTCGTTGATTCACCATGCTGTTACTCCAGTTTTGTGACACTGTATTGCCATTGAAATGAATGGCTGGTTGTACACCTGTGTAGGGATGGAGAATCAAGCCCTCATTTTGTGCTTATGACCAAGTCATAACTACCTCTAAGTTAAAGGTGACCAGCAACTGAAAAAGGTAGATGTGTGCTTTCTCTTGCGCTGGATGGATAAAAAAGGCCCTTTTTAAACCCCCTCCCCCAACATTACTTCTGCACATGTATTATACTGTATATATCCAGCCATTTGAATACCCTGTTTTTGCTGGAGCACTCTTTGGAGCGCATAGGTGTTTATGATATCATAAGAGACTGGGAGTAAAGAGAGGGGGAGGGGTTTGTAATCAGAGAGGTAGAGCCTCGTTTCCAGCTGAGTTGTATGTAGCGTACAATCTAGGATGAAAAGACCTGCCACCCACTCACCATATTCTAGAGGTTGTTTTTGGCAGACATGTATTTAACTCAAAACTCTAACACACAGGCGAGAGAAAAGCTATCCTTGTGAAAAGTTTGGGATCTATGCTGTATCAACCAAACACTGAGAAAGTCCCCTCTCTCCTGCACTCTGGTCCTCTCAGGAATCCTCTAGCAAAAGTGGGGGAGAGGTGGAAAATCTTAGTCTCTTACTGGTGTTGTTTCTAGGGTAAAATGGAAGCAGCAACAACAAGATCATACAGAAGCAGAAAAGGCACAAACATTTCCCTGACCTCCCATTTTATAGATTCCCTTTCAGATTCCACCACAGACTTTCAGAGAATGGAAGGAAATATTTCTTCAGTAGCTTTGATGAGGTTTCTGATGGCCTCACTAAATGTGTGGCCTGAGGGCCGATCAGTCAGGATGATTAGAATCCCTTGACCAATAGCTAAATAGGGCCGAGAGTCACTGCATTACAATGATTTTCTATAATTAACTTCAGGGGGTGTTTTCCATGCACACAGTCAAATTAGACCTCTGTCATTTGCATGGCTGTCTGGTGGGGTTTTGTCCAGTGATCTCAGATGTCCTTGCTTGTTTCTTGCCAGTGATTTCCAGCTGGGCTGGCCCTAAGCTAGGGGTGGGCAATAGTTTTAGATGGGGGGGGGGTCATGCAAGAATTTGATAAATGGTCAAGGGCTGCACTCTTCCATGGTATTAATGGAGGAGGTGCAGGGTGTGAGATGGAGGTAGGATGCAGAAGGGAGCTTGGGGTAGGGGAATGGGATGTAGTTGTGACCCAGGAGATTGGGGTGAGGTGTCTGGGAGAGGGTATGGATGCAGAAGCAGAGGTAAAGGGGGTTAGGGTTGTGACCTGGGGCAGGAGTGTAGGAGGGGAGCACAGAATTGGGGAGGGAGGGACTGGGGTTCCAGAGGCAGGCTCTAGCCAGGAGGTTCTTACCTAGGTGGCTCCCAGCCAGCAGCCCAGCAGGTCCCTCAGACATCCCATCACACCATTCAGAGTGGCTGGCCATAGGGGCAATGTGTTCCTCTGAGCACTGTGAGCCCAGGGGGAGGTCTACTTTGTGAGCTTCCTGGACTGCAAACATGGCCCAGGCAGAACTACAAGATTGTGCTGTGGGTGGGAGCAGCATGTAAAGCCTTCCCCTTCCTCCCCCCAGCTTGCAGTGCTTAGAGAAGCACATGGTTGCCACAGCCGGCTGCTTTGAGCAGTGAACAGGGACCAGGCAGACAGGGAGCCTGCCTGAGGCTTCCACTGGGCCACGGGTGGGATCTAGGCCATGGGCCATATATTGTCCACCACTGCCCTAAGCTCGGAGTATAGAAGGGTGACCAGACAGGTCACTGAGGCAGAGTGGGACGGCAGAGGGAGGACAGCTTGCACTGATTCATGTACCTCAGAAGTGAGGTGTGTCAATGCTAACACTGCCCTGATGTAACTCCCATGCACGCAGACACACTTTGGATGGGAAGCAGGGTAAATTCATCTCAGAGGACTACCAGTGGGAGAAATGGTGTGTGTAGAAAGAGAATGTCTAATGCAGACACAGACTTGCTGGTGTTTGGGAACACGGTGGAGATAGCCTGGAAGAGAGAGCTTTCTAAGGTGCATCTTCTGGTATCTTTTCCAGTCATGCCACAAGAAGGGTCCAAGCTGAACTTGGGGAAGAAGATCAGCATCCCCAGGGATGTGATGCTAGAAGAGCTCTCACTCCTCACTAATAAAGGATCCAAGATGTTCAAACTACGCCAGCTGAGGGTGGAGAAATTCATTTATGAGAATCACCCTGATGTCTTCACTGACAGTTCCGTGGTAGGTCACAAAAATGCAACCACAAGCCAGTTCCTACCCACTTGGGAATGTGAGGGAAGGTTGCATGGCTTCACTCTCACCACAGGCTAGGGGATATTCCTTGGGTGGCAGAGGGGCCCAAGATTGTGAATGAATATGCAGACTGAACTTCCTTTCCACACCAGCACTGAGCTCCTTCTGGGCACTTTTGGGATCCATTGATGGCTCAATCCCAGGAAAGCTGAACACTAGGAGAACACTGAGGCTCATGTGTAGTGCTGGTGTACAGAGCTAGAAAAGTGCATGGCTATGTACCAGTTATTATAACAACATTTCCCTTCTCACACTGGTGGCAAATGATGCATTCTGACGTAAGGTTAGCTCATCTGGACTCTCTTCCATTTTCTGGGGTATTTTCTCTTCTTGGTGTAGACCTCAGCTCAGTTTTGAGAGAAGATCCATGAAATAAAATTGAGACAGAGGCCTCCAGCAGCTGATACTGCACTTACTTTGGTTTGTTTGCTGGGAAATTAATAGAACAGTAAAGGAAAGAATGTTTAGCTTTTACTAGTATCTTGTACTGGCCCTTGTAGTGCATAAAGTCAGGTTTATGCATTTCTTCCTCCCTTTCCCACCTCTGAAAAATTCATTCTGCTGATTATTTAACCTTAGAATTGGAGCTGATCTTCTCTGTTTTTGCTGAAAAACCAATTGGAAGATTGGCACAAAAGGTTTCTCAGCCTTCATGTAAAGTAACATGGATATCAAACTTCTCACAGAAAGAGCTTTTCTCCCAGGCAGTGGCCAACAGTTTGAGTTAAACAAACAGAAGAGATCTCATAATTTCAGAAGCTCATCTCCTCTTCTGTCTGCTGTTTAAGCTTCCATCTCTTGGCATGTCATCATCCCATTTATCTTCCCGACCAGGGGCATTCAAGATTTCCTATTTCTAATAAAAGTATCAAGCTGAAAAATTGTTCTAGACAATAAAAACTTTGAGGCTTTCCTCATGATTAAAGCAGCAAATCAGGAATTCCATCTGTACTTTTAACAAGTACAATCTAGGAAGCCAAGTGTGGAGAAGCCATAAGAAAGGCTGGTTGGAGGAGGAGGAGGAAAATGCCATCAGAATAAGAAGGGGCAGTACCAAGTGGCGGTCTCAGTAAGAGTCCAGGGCTGATATTCAGGATACATGGGTTGTATCCTGTGTCCCCGTGGCAAGTCTCCAACTCTCTGATTGTTCATTTGTACAGTTATCTTATGCTGCTACCCTCACGTCCTCCTCAGAGCACTGTGCCATTTTTGTCAGTGCTTTGAAGTTTGTGGATGAAAGATGCTAGAGAAGTTGGCAGCATTGTTATAAATAGTCAACAGCCAATGAAAGTTTTTGAGGAACATGGTAAAAAAGACACATTTAAACCGATAGCCTTACACAGGTTACTACTGCATCCAAACCCCTCCTTCACCTGGGGAGCTGATGCACCTACAGCTCACATAAGGTTGCAGCACAGATTGCAGACCTAGGAAAAGCTCAGCGAGCCCCCAAATACCTGAGGCCCAAATTCACATGTCAGCCTCTGAGGCTATAGTGAGGTTCACAGAAATGACATTTTATGTGAGGTTAGAAGGTTTATGATGGGTGTACAGAAGATGAGGGCATGACCAGCTTGTCAAAAGTTGGGGTGTCCAAATTGAGAAATGCAAAGTGAACAAACTGTCCCACTTCAGGCATTTCAAATTGGGCACCAAGAAACCGAGGCACCAAAGAGTGGAAGATATTTTTGGAAATGTGGGCGTCTGAGCTTGGGATTGCCAAAGACTGGGGAATTATTCTATCTATCATAATTTACTGGCTACTGGCTACTGGATGAGCTATGAGAAATGGGGACCTTGCCTTGATTATTCTATCCCAGAATACTAAGCTTCATTCCACAGTGCTTTGGTAAAGGATCCCAGCTTCTTTCTGGATAGACACCCCTGTTGCATTGTGGCAAGGAAGGACTCCGGCCAGGGGACTCATTCACTACTATCCAGAGACTTCCTCAAGAGGGAGAGATCTTTCAAAGTGACATTGGAAGATGCTCTGTCTTGAGGAAAGGCATTTGGGGTTTTAAAAAGTTCTTAGCAAGCCTGGACTTGCCTGCATGGCCTAGCTGGAGTGGAACTATGAGGGTATCAGGTTGATGAAGGGTCTCCAAACAGGCATGGTAGTTTCCTATTTTAAAGTCCTATGTGGCTCCTTTTCAGATCTGACTTTTTCAAACCAGACACAAATCACAGCTGCCCATTGCCTTTGGTCTGCAGGGTTCAGTCTGCCCTCCTGGCTCCCCTCAGGATTAGATGGACAGGATCTGGGACATAATTTACTGGCTACTGGCTACTGGCTACTGGATGAGCTATGAGAAATGGGGACCCTTGCCTTGATTATTATGTATTTATTGCATTGTGGTAACATCTAGGAGCCACCATCTTAGACTAGAACCCCACCATGCCAGGTGCTGTACAGATCCAGGCGACAAAGATGATCCCTGCTCCAAGGAGTTTACAATCTAAGGGTATGTCTACATTACAGAGTTTTCTTGGAAAAACCTGAGTTACATCCACACTGCAATTGTGTTCTTCCCAAAGTAAATTGAAATAACAGAGGGGTTTTTCCAGAGCTGGTAATCCTCTTTCGACAAGGAAGAAGCCTTTTTCAGAAAAAAACTCTTTCGGAAAAAGGAGTGTGTAGACGGGAAAAAGGGAGTTCTTTCGAAAGAAGAGGAAAAAGGAAAAAGCACAGGTGCCCTGGTGGCCATTCCATCCATAGTAATCACAGCTTAAATGCAAGAGAGTGCCCATTCAGTGTGAACGCTATCTTTCAAAAAAGCAGATCGCTTTTTTGATGCGCTTTTGTGTGTGGACGCTCTCTTTCGGAAGAAGTTTTTTTGGAATATCTCTTCCGAAAAAGGGTTCTTCCACAAGAAGCCTGCATCTCAACATAGCATAAGTATAAGACAGAGTGGAAGCACATAGAAACAATGAGACAGTATTGGCCAGAAAGATCAGGCAGTGGTCTCAGCACATCAGCACTCTAACCCTGGCAGAGAGAATCTGGAGCAGGGATTTGGAGGAGGACAAAGAGGTAGATTTGCAGATGTTTATAGGGAACACCTCTTAAGCGTGTGGGGCAGAGAGGAGAAAGCATGCAGGTATTTGAAACTCTGGCAAGTGGGCAATAGAGATTGGCATCATGGACGAATCAGAAGTGAGCATCAAGAGCTCTATGGCAAATGAGAGATTTGCCAGGAAGGGCTTAGAAATTGCTTTTCTTCACTTTTCCTATTTGCTGCCATGGAACAGAGGAGATAGCAGAAGGGTGCAAGGAGAGGGTTGATATGGTCAGTGACAGGCTAGGGAAGTGACCTTAGCAGCGGTGCCAGAATGTGCTTGTCAGAGACAGAGAAGAGCATGGTGCTATAGCAGAGATAAGATAATGAGATGTGGGATAAGAGTTTCAGCTGTGTGGATGGATAGGAAAGGTCAACTCTCAGATGTCACACAGAGAGAACTGGCATGTTGTACAGCCAGCTTGGAGGGGAGGACCTAGAGAGGGGGCCCAGGTTATAGATCTGAGTGTCTGGCAGGATGGGGGTGTTCTCTCCAGTGCTGGAGAAAGGAAGTTATGGGGTAAAAGGATGGGGAGAGCAGGAGCTCTGTTTTAGCCAAGTAGAGCCTGAACAATCATTAGCAAGGAGCCCTCACGGAGACAGGTTGAAATTTCAGCTTGAGAAGAAGACAAGTTGGGAGTAAAT